TATATATATATATATATGGAATCTCACAGAAGTTGGTTAACCTCATCGGGAGCATATGTACGAAGGGATGAGTTGCAGGGCTATACACGATGGCCAGCTCACTGACAGCTTTGACATCAAGACCGGTGTGAGTGTGAGATAGGGATGTTTACTACGGTGTATCACCTTTCCTCTTTATCTTGGCAATCGACTGGCTGATGAAGGAAACCACCAGAGGACACAGAAACGGCATACAGTGGACCCCGTGGACACAGCTAGACAATCTGGACTTTGCAGATGACTTGACGCTTCTGTCACACACTCAGGAACAGATGCAAAAAAGACAACAATTCTAAAACAGCCTATCAGAGTCTGTTGGATTGAGGATCCATCCCGGAAAGTCAAAAGTCCTCTAAGGATAGATGCACTACGAAAGGAGCAGGTCACAGTAGAGGGAAACGCACTAGAAGAGGCCAAATCATTCTGTATCTTGGGAGTATATAATTGGCGGAGAGGGAGAAACAGGCGCTGAAATAAAGCCCCGCATCGAAAGGCACAGACTGCATTAAAAATTTCTTTGAACAATTCAACTCTAATATGAAGTCAGTCTTGTTGTATGGATGTGAGACGTGGAACGCATTTCAGACAGGCATAAAGAGGACCCAGGTTTTCTTGAACAAGTGTCTGAGGAAGCTACTGAGGATCAGGTGGACAGCCCAGTCAGAGATGAGGTGGGAAGAAGGCACTGGAGATGGATGGGACACACTTTCAGGGAGCCAAGCAGCTGCATAACAAGGAAAGTGTTAGATTGGAACCCACAGGGTAAAAGATCAAGGGCAAGACAACGTGGAACCAGGAGAAGAGTTACCGAAATGGACGTACAAAAAAGGGGGAAGACAATCAGACATGGAGTGAAATCAAGCGACTAGCTCAGGATAGGGAAAGGTGGTAGAGAAATAAACAAACAAAAGGATGATTAATATCTTCATAAATAATCATATCCTGTTGCCATGGTAGATGTGCTCTCCCTGATGGAAAAGGGCAGTCGCGACTTTTTTCATGTGTTATATATATAT